CACACACACACACACACACAAACACACACATACCATGTTTCTCTATCCTTGTGGGGACTTTCCATTGACTTCCATTCATTTTTTTAAAATTTTATATCCCAACCCTGACCATTTACTCTAAAAGTTAACCTCACAGGTACCTACCTTACCCTAAAACTAACCTAAACTCAATTCACACCTTGGTCCTAAACCTAACACCCAACCTACCAATGGTATTTACCCATACTAGGATTAGGTCCCCATAAGTACCAGGGAGAAGCCACCATCAGTGTAGCAAACACCTTCAAAGCATGAATCCGAATAATGTTTAGTCTGTGGTGTTAGATTAAACTTACCTCTGCTTCATTCATCCTCAGCTCAGACTCATGATGTAGCTGTATGGTAGGTTCAGCACAGTTTGATCTGTGAAACACAAGAACCAAACACACAGCACTGAAGTTTTATTTGCTTTTATTACAAAAGGGGATATTTAAAAACTATTCACAGACCAAGGAATGAATTATAAAAATGATGGGATGAGTCAGGTCGAAAACAAGTTTATGTTTTAAATGACTGAGTATGAAGAGGAATGAAACCCTGAAGCTAACTCCTTACTGGACATAATAAAAAGTGCTGTTGAACAGCAGGTTTACCTGGTAATAACCCAGAATAAATGAACCCATAATGAGCATAGAAGGTTCTGGAGAGCCTGTCATCAGGAGGTTCTTCTTGCTAATGGTCCCAGGCATGAGGAGCTGAAGATGGACAGGCTGGAGTCCTGTGGACACATGAGACATGATGGAACAGCTCTAATTTCAGGATCAGAAAGTTCAGAAATAAGTCATAAACAAAGATCTGTTTGAGAAAGTGAAAAGCTGAGTTCTATAATGTTAAGATGAGGAAACTGCAGATCAGAGCATCTGGGTTGGACCAATGCTGTCTGATCAGCTGTGGACAACAGGGACACTCTTTGTCCTCAACATCCAGTCCTTCTGGAGATTCTGTTCAACAAGTGTTGAAAATGATCTTTTAAAGAAATAAGGAGAGCTAAGAGCTGAGGCCTTCTAATGATGGTTCAGTCTCTCATCCACTCAGGACCACAGAGGACCAACATGTGTAACTGAGGCAGGAAGTGGAACACTTTTAACAGCAAACAGCGCATGTAAAGATGAAGAATCAGAAGAATCAAACTGATATCTATGAGTTTATCAAAGATGTATCTTCAGCTTCAGCTGCTGGAGGAAGAGAAGAGCTTAAATGAAACAGCATTAATTATAACAAACACATTTAAATCATGAAACCGCCTTCTACACAGATCAAACTAAACTGAATTATTTAGCTTTCATGAGTTCAGACTTTTACTGAAACTCAGACACGCTGAGAAACTTCATGCAGTTCAAGCCACTTCCCAGATACAGGATTGGATTTTAGGCTCCAGACTCCTCGTTATCATGGAGACAAGATCAGAGGTCTGACAGTCAGGAACTCACAGTGGGGTCTGCTGTCTGAGGGAAACAAGAAGAGTTCTCATGTCAGAAAATAAATCCATGTTAGATAAAAAACAAAAAAACATTCATGTTCCTACACCTGTCCTAAGAGCCAAATCTGAATATTCAAAAGATACAGACATGAATATGACCTGATTATAAACAACATGAAACTAAGTAAAATTCACATTTTGCAGAGGAAGTGATGCTGGCAGAAGAAGATAAAAACGCAGAGGAGAAATCCCTGGATGGAGCATGGTACAAAAGAAAACACAACAACTCTGGTAAGGACAGTGCTTATTTAAATGTATTCATTCTATATGTTTTTATTKAAGTTGTATTTTACTAGGTGGGACATCGGGAACAATTTCTTATTTACAGTACTGGACTTTGTGTGATGAGTTCTCTTAATGCAAGTCTATAAATAATGTCTCCATGACAAACAAGAGAAAGTTTTTTTTTTAATAATGACTGGTTTTGCAGCCACTGTGAATGAAGAACAGTTTCTGTACAGATAACCAACCTTTGACCTTTGATGCTATATAGTGATATGGTGTGAAAAGGAAAGTTGAATCTCAGACTCAGGAAGAGCCGTGTGGTTTTCTGTTCATGGAACAGCGGACCAGCTCTACACCCTCAGCAGGGTCCTGGAGGGTGCCTGAGAGTTCCCCCAACCAGTCTGCTTGTGTTTTGTGGACTTGGAGAAGGTGTTCGACCGGGTCCCTCTGGGACTCCTGTTGGGGGTACTCTGGGAGTATGGGGTACCAGACCCGTTGATACGGGCTGTTAGGTCCCTGTACGATTGGTGCCAGAGCTTGGTCCACATTGCTGGTAGTAAATCAGGCTCATTTCTGGTAAGAGTTGGACTCTGCCAATGTTGCCCTTTGTCACYGATTCTGTTCATAACTTTTACAGACAGAATTTCTAGGCACAGCCAAGGTGTTGAGGGGATCCTTTTTGGTGACCTTAGGATCACATCTCTGCTTTTTGCAGATGATGTGGTCCTACTGGCCTCATCAGATGGTGATCTTCAGCTCTCATTGGAGCGGTTCGCAGCCGAGTGTGAAGGACCAGGATGAGGATCAGTGCCTCCAAATCTAAGASCATGGTCTTGTGGTCAGCCTCAGGCACAGCTGTGCAATAATCAAGCTGTCTAATCAGCATCTTGATATGACACACCTGCGAGGTGGGATGGATTATCTCTGCAAAGGAGAAGTGCCCCATAACACAGATTTACACAAATTTGTGAACAATAATTGAAGGAAGGTCTACTGTGTACGTAGGAAAATTTGTGGATATTTAAGTTCAGTTCATGAAAATGGGAGCAAAAACAAAAGTGCTGCAGTTATATTTTTATTCAGTGTATATAAAAATCGTATCATCAGCATAAAACCGAAGCTCCACTAACAGATTGTGGATTATTTATAAATATAGAAAAGAGTTGAGACTTGATTTATGGGGTACATTTGATGAAACAGAGAAAATATGAACCATTTACCTGCTGGGATCTGTTAGAAAGATCATTTGAAAGTGAAATCTGAGGATCTTGTGATCCACAGAGTCACAGGCTTTACTACATCCATGAATTTTATTGCAATTTTAGTTTTAGGATCTATAGACAACAATACCTTCTCCACTTCTTTTTCAGTGATTAACTTTTTCTTGTGTGAGTTTCCTGCAGAAATGAGCTGAAAGGAAAAACAACAACAGTGTGATTTTTAGTCCTGGATAGGTTTTCTGTGAGAGGAGAAATAATGCGAAGTGGGTCAGAATACAGACCTCCACTTTTGACCAAGAGTGTTAAACAGACCCACAATCCCAGACTCACCTAGCACCCCCCACAGTGTACCTCCAGGAACACGGTCCAATGCTTTCTTCAAATCCACAACCATAGACTGACTTAGCAAACTCCCAGGACCCCTCAAGGAATCTAGTGAGGGTAAAGAGCTGGTCCAGTTTACCAAGGCCTCCGCCTGTTTGAATATCAGAGTTTTTTGAAAATGTCAGAAGACTTTTTTCATGTAGAGAAAGTGTATGATATGTTGTAGGTCCAAGGATTACTCATTAAAGTACATTATTATCAGATGCTTGGCTAGAAGGAACAGAGACTTTAAAACAAATTTAAACCAGATCAGTCAGGTCAAATGTACTTTAGTATTGTTTACTGATTTGCAGCAAAAACAATAAATGAGACATTAGACATCAAGCATTAAGAATTTATCCAGGAACATTTAAACCCAGCAGCAATTGAGGTAGATATGAGAGAAATTCTGTTTAATCTACAAAGAAATCACACTGACCATCCAACACATGGCATGCTGGGAAACAGGAGACATGTCAGTATCATTGTGTTTTTATTTGTTTTTAGATTATTTGTGTTTAGCTGATCATTCCTGGTGTTAGATACTTCGGATCATCCTGTTCTCTGTGTTTTCTGTTTTTGTGTTTTAGCTTCTCCCTGTCGTTTCTCATCTCTATCAGCTCTCAGTATTTTTCAGCCCCTCCCTGACCAGCTCAGCTGTCGCTCATGCCACATCCCTTCCCTTATATTCAATCTCCTTCTATCTTCACATCAGCAGATATTTGAATTTCGTTGCAGATGAAGTTTTAGTTCTATGTTCCCTGTCCCCTCATTTCTCATCCTTTTATTATTTTTTGTTGCTTTATCAGCGCTTTGTTTTTGTTATTAAAGTAGTTTATTATTTTGTGTCCTTGTGAGTCTTTCTCTGGGTTCAACCAAACCAAGAAACCTTTGCAAAGCTTTGGGTGGAGTACTAAAAAGAAAAACAAGACGTTCAACTACACAATTAAGAAATTAGTCCAACACTACCACTGCCTGTAATCCCACTCTGGATTTCTCCAGAATCAAAAGTAGATTTGATATTCAGTTCTCATTTGGTTGAGAAATATATAAACAATTATTATTACTATACTCACCAGCCACTTTATTAGGTACACCTGTCCAACTGCTCGTTAACACTTAATTTCTAATCAGCCAATCACATGGCGGCAACTCAGTGCATTTAGGCATGTAGACATGGCCAAGACGATCTGCTGCAGTTCAAACTGAGCATCAGAATGAGGAAGAAAGGTGATTTAAGTGACTTTGAATGTGGCATGGTTGTTGGTGCCAGACAGGCTGGTCTGAGTATTTCACAAACTGCTGATCTACTGGGATTTTCACCCACAACCATCTCTAGGGTTTACAGAGAATGGTCTGAAAAAGAGAAAATATCCAGTGAGTGGAAATCCTGTTAGCCTGGCCCTTACCTTCCTACACAGTTCCGCTCAATTCTAGTTTCCCTTCACTGCTCCGTCTGGGATTTCTCCCATAGACAAGGATTTCTTCAGGAGTATTTCATCCGGGCCAATCAGAGAGCAGAAGGAGGAGTTTTGAACGACGTCGATTTTCTGCACAGTGTCTGCTTGTTAGTTTAGCTATGGCAGTGGAGGAAGTGAATGAAGCCAGTCTGTGTTGATTAAATTAAATTTGTCTGACAAAGCAGCAGTTCTCATTTACAGTCGTCTTGTTCAGCTCGGTACTTTTCTCCTCTCAGTAGGGTTGTTTACAGCACACTCGATTTCCGGTTAGCTTCTTAGATCAGCTTCCTTCACAGCGACATACATCGTGGCCAACTGACCCGATCATTTTAAACTTCAGCAGAGGCCACGCCTCCAGCAAGAATCGTTTCTCTATAGCCGAGAGTCCAGACCCTCATACGAAGCTAAGTGAAGGACGACAGTCTGGTTTTTACCAGGCTACAGTTCTGTGGGCTCAAATGTCTTGTTGATGCCAGAGGTCAGAGAAGAATGACCAGAATGGTTGTAGCTGATAGAACAGCAACAGTAACTCAAATAACCACTCGTTACAACCGAGRTCTGCAGAAGATCATCTCTGAACTCACAATACATCAAACCTTGAGGCAGATGGGCTTCAGCAGCAGAAGACCACACCAGGTGCCACTCCTGTCAGCTAAGAACCGGAAACTGAGGCTACAATTCACACAGGCTCACCAAAACTGGACAATAGAAGATTAGAAAAACATTGCCTGGTCTGATTAGTCTTGTTTTCTGCTGCAACATTCAGATAGTAGGGTCAGAATCTGACATCAACAACATGAAAGCATGGATCCATCCTGCCTTGTATCAATGGTTCAGGCTGGTGGTTGTGGTCCAATGGTGTGGGGGATATTTTCCTGACACACTTTGAGTCCATTAGTACCAACTGAGCATCGTGTCAACACCACAGCCTACCTGAGAGTTGTTGCTGACCATGCCCATCTCTTTATGACCACAGTGTACAATCTTTTGATCACATCCACCACTTTATGACCACAGTGTGCCATCTTCTGACAATGTCCATCCCTTTATGACCACAGTGTACCATCTTCTGACCATGTCATCCCTTTATGACCACAGCGTACCATCTTCTGATCATGTCCATCCCTTTATGACCACAGTGTACCATCTTCTGACCATGTCATCCCTTTATGACCACAGTGTACCATCTTCTGACCATGTCCATCCCTTTATGACCACAGTGTACCATTTTCTGATGGCTACTTCCAGCAGGATAACACTCCATGTCATAAAGTGTGAATCATGTCAGACTGGTTTCTTGAACACAACAATGAGTTCACTGTACTTGAATGGCTCCACAATCACCAGATCTCAGTGCAATAGAGCACCTTTGGGATGTGGTGGAACAGGAGATTCTCATCATGGATGTGCAGCTTATGAATCTGCAGCAACTGTGTGATGCTATCATGTTAATATGGACCAGACTCTCTGAGGAATGTTTCCAGTACTTTGCTGAATCTATGCCATGAAGGATTAAAACAATTCTGAAGGCAAAAGGGGATCCAACCTGGTACTAGCAAGGTGTACCTAATGAAGTGGCTGGTGATATTCAGATGTATCAAAATCAACAAGTGAGAAAATAAGAAACAATGAACAGAATTTGACTAGATAATAAACCTTTAGGTTACCTAACGTAACCCCGGTTCTTTGATAACAGAGTGAGGTGTTTCACTATGAGAAACGCTCCTGCGTGACCATCTACGGACGCTCCAATGACATTACGTCTGTCTGAGACAGACAGGTTGAGCCGTGCTCAGGGCTCCGCCCCACTAATATATCACGGTCAACCGACCCCTCCCAACTCATTCTGGAACGGTTTCTTTCCATGTCAATGCAAGAAGGGAAGTGTTGGTGAAACACCTCACTCTGTTATCAAAGAACTGGGGTTACGTTAAGTAACCTAAAGTTCTTTTTCTAACTTCGT